AACCACCTCTCCCTGACCTGTCCTCTAGGACTATTTACCTCAATAATAGAGATCGACAACTCCTCTTTCAATTTTTGATGAAGATCCGACCAGAGTTCGAATCTGTTCGGAGCCAACTTATTCATCAATCATCTAGAACCACCCTTGAGATGGCCGTCATAGAGTTACAGGCTGAGGAGATGTGCCTTCACCTCACCACTCTCCCCATCATCTTGAGTTATGTCCACGCACCTCCTGTCTAACACCCTCTCACTGTCCACCCCCTAGAGCACATCCCTCACTTGCTAGACATCATCAATTAAGTCCTAACTTCTCTCACAAGTATAGTTGTTGTGTGACATTCACAAGCTCTGGGGACACTCTACGGATAAGTGCCACTCACGACTACCTACAACATCTTCGACCACACAACCTTAGGCAGCCATCATCGAGATTCCATCCACCTCTGCATCACCACCTTACACTGATCTCCTGCAGGTGCTACAACCTTTGCTACCTCACCCGCCACAGGTTCATCTCACTCACTCATGTACAAACACCAACTCATGGATTTATGACTCAGGTGCCACACATCATCTAATGTCATCACAAAAATACCTCAATAATCAAAAGCCACTCTCCCTACCACTGTGGTCTGCACAGCAGATTGAACAACATTACCCATGAAATCCGTCGGTCACCTCTCAATTAAACCTCAATTCTCAGTCCCTAACGTACACCATGCCCCTAATGTCACAATGAATTTACTATCTGTTTCCTAAATTACTTCACACAATTGTACTACCACATTCATTGCTTCTTCTTTTGTCATGCAGGATCTTCGTACCAAACAAACATTTAGGACTGGTCGTAATCTCGGTGGCCTACACTATATGGACAAGCTCATTTTGCCCGCTCCCACCACTTTTGTTATCCACCTTCTCAACTTTAAATCCATCGCTTGCAACCTCTGGCATCATCTCCTCGGTCACATATCCCTTCCTCATCATCATACACTCTATTCAACTGGCAAATTAGGAAATTTTTTCACAAATTTCTTTTCTCCTTGTACTGGCTGCAAGTTGGCAAAAAAATTGGCCCTTCCTTTTCAAATAAGTAATAAAACAGCACCTGTACCTTTCGAACTTACTCATACTGACATCTAGGGGCCATTCCCGCACACATCTAGTGGTCAAAATCGCTACTACATTCTCTTTATCGATGATTACTCATGTTTTACCTAGATTTACTTGTTGAAAAATAAATCTAACGACTTTGAAACCTACAAGAGCTTCGCAACCATGATCCAAACCCAATTCTCATTCCACATCAAAACTTTACGCTTAGACTTGGGGGTGGGGGAATATACATCCCATCATTTCACAGAATTCTTAGCCTCCTAAAGAACTCTCTCTGAATTATTTTGTCCATATGCCCATCAATAAAATGGTGTAACCGAACGGCTTCACCGATACATCCTAGAAACTACTAGAACCCTATTCCTTTCTACATCTGTACCTATCTAATTCTGGGCAGAATCCCTCCTCACGAGTGTCTACCTCATCAACCGTGCTCCATCCTCCACTATCCAAGGTCTTACACCCTTGCAACAACTATACAATTCGCCACTGAACTACTCTCACCTTCGAGTCTATGGTTGTACATGTTTTGTTCAACTCTCACCTTCAGAACGCAACAAACTTTCACCCCGCTTTGTTATGTGTGTATTCCTTAGATATAGTCTCCATCACAAATGCTATGATCCCCATATTGATCGCCTACGCATCTCCCCACATGTCATCTTTTTTTAACACCTATCATACTAAGCTCTAGCCTCCCCACCAATACCCTCACCACCTTCTACTCCTACAGATCTCACATTCCTCGAACTTGACACACTGACTTCAAAAATAACAGCTGATCATTCCTCATCAATTACCAATCAAAAGCTAAGTCCAGAAGATGGTTCTCTCACTAAGCACACAGCTAGTTCTAATCCCACTCCTGTTGTGACGGATCAATCATCCCTTCCATCAACCTCCTCATCTGAACCACATATTGATGAAGCCACACCTGAACTGATATATCCCTCATGGGATCGCCAACTACCAGCCAAATACCACGACCCTAATTATACCTCCATTTCCTTTCACACCATAAATATGATGACATCAGATTATGTGTAACCTAGTTCTCATCATGATGCAGTTAAGTATTTTGAGTGGCAACAGACAATGAAAGATGAACTTACAGCTCACCAACAAACCCACACATGGGATGTCACATCTCTTCCTCTGGGGAAGACCCTCATTAGTTGCAAGTGGACCTACAAGGTTAAGACCAAAGCGAACGGAATCATTGAGCACCACAAGGCTCGGTTAGCTGCTCGCGGCTTCACTCAACAGTACAAAGTGGACTACGAGGAGACCTTTTCTCCAATTGCCAAAATGACCACTGTTTGCACATTAATTGTTGTTGCTGCTGCCAAACAATGGTCATTGTACCAAATAGATGTCAAAAAATCCTTCTTACATGGACATCTCACCGAGGACATTGTTTGGGTCAAAAGTTGATGTTTTCATTGTCATCGAATCTATTACAACTTTGGTCATTACAATAAACTCAAACGAAAATAAAAGTTGATCTTTTTATAAGATCTTCTTTACATAATGAAAATAAAGATTACAACTCTTGTCAAACATTTCAATGGACGTTTATCACCCGCTGCTTGTGTGGGTTCTTTGCCTGTGCCGGGGACGTTAATATCCGTAGACCGCCGCGGATCAGATCCGGTTAGTAGAAGTTGGATAATCAATGCTCTCACTTCACGAAAGAAGTAATTGCAGTAGCGGCGATTTTGACTAAGCAAAATCACGGCTCTTCTCGGGATTTAAGACCAAGCTTAAATCCGGAGGAATAGGGGACGGGTCTCAGATCTCTTCAACTCTACTCTTTATGCGCAGGAGATCGCCAAGATCTGCTAACCATTACTGTAAATTCGTGGCTCCACTCTCCAATTCGGCAGCACTTCGTCCTCTTGATCTCCTCCTCCAAAAATGAACACTAGAGCTATTATTTATAGGCTTGGTTGATGGTTTCTTCAGCTCAAAACGAAGGATCCCTTCTATCTTCAGTTAGTAACTATCTAACAACAAT